AGTGGTTGAAGAACTGGGTATTAGAATGAGCTAAGAGCCATACATGCTGCTATAAATGTATCTATATTGTATTAAAAAACAGAATCTCATTATCTACTAATATTTGAACTCATTTTATTAGAGAGGTAGGCTATAGGAAAACAATTACAAATAAGAGTGCATGATTAGAGAGTTCTATTCAAAAGTGGAAAATCAGATTTAATTATTCTTTGCTGGAAATAATACATCTTTTTACATCAGTAACCTCAGATGCTGCATAATTAATAATTTCCAAATATATATTGCAGAAATTTTGTGTTTATACAATTTAAGTGTATCTGGACTATAGTAGTTTAGCATACAACTTAAACACTAGGAGTTTAAGATGGTGCAACAGCATTAGAGAAGCATTTATCATTTTAAAAGACTTTGAGCAATCAGAATTCATCAATGACACTTCAGTTAAGATAGAAAAATAAAGTATTGACTATTACACAAAGGCTGTATTTTACCTTTTTATTCGTAGGAAGATTTCCAAGATAATATGGGTATTTTAAATGACTAGCTGAGCTTCCATCATGTGATGGCAACTAATCAATAAATCATATGTCGTTGTTGTGGCTCAGCATGTCAAATAGCTGCATTCGGTGTCCATATTTAAAGGTTTTGAGCAATTTTTTTGTTCTTGTACATTTCTAGCTCATTAGCCCTGATTCTAAAAGTGATTATTTTCTTGTCAATGAAATTGGTAGAAAAATCACGTCTTACCTGTTTCTGTCACGGGGAGGAGATGGAATGGGGTAATCAACAGGAAACTTCTGTTCCTTAAGACTGCTTGCCACCCCATGTGGTTTTACTAAAGCAGCTTTTCCTTGTGAGCAACATGGAAAATAAATACATGGCATCCTGCAAGACACGCTGGACATTTTGATGCTCATAGGAGATGGTAAGAGGATGTGGTGGGGGGAGGATGAATGTTTTTGAAAGCAGCTTTTGGCATACATAAATCATGAGGTTTGTACCAAGGCCTGGGACATCCAACTCAGGATTTTGGTTAGATAACAGCATGAAGATGGACTAATAGCGTTTCAATTACCCTGTCCATCTCTGTTACATTTGCCTACCAGAACTCCAGTGTAATCTTCATCTGGTATATGAAAACTGCCCTGCATCTGTAGGTGAAATAGCTGGCCAGGACACATCCAAATCTCTGGTTTAAGAACAGTGGCAAACAGCTGAAAAAGCCATAGCTTTTGTTATGATCTCCCATTGCCATTAATCACATTTTGAGTACCTTTGCCACTCCGTCAGAGTATCTAAAAAATGTTCTTGATGAAAGCAATTGGTTCACTTGGACTCAAGCCAGAATAAAACGCTGTTTGTCCTCAAAGAGAGATGCTACAAAGAACTGGCTAAAGTACAGTCACTGTCTTTTGTCCACAGTAAACAGCCCTAGTTCATCAGGATATTGAAAATCTCAATGTCGTCTATGCATTAGTCTAAAAAATGCCTGTTTCTTCACGTTTTAATTTATTAGGAAATTAAGTTATTTTCTTGTGGACAATAACTCAGGATGTAATAACCCCCATGTTTATCACAGGCACATCAGATTGCTGGAACTCATGCAATCTGAAATGAATTGTGAGGGTTTGTATAGGTTTCTGAGAGTACAAAACACAGCTGCTCAGTTTTCTGACAGCTCTGGTTTATGCGTGTATATATATATATATATATATATACAC